GGACGCAGAAGCGGTTGGATGGAGAGGCAGCCGGCGCACGAGAGGCAGCCGATGGAGCCGACGAGGTGAGTAGACACGAGTTTACCATTCTGCGGGGGGGGGGGGGGGGGCAAGCCCTCCCCACCACTGGTACTTTGTACTGGATGCAACTCAGCAGTGGTCGCAAGCGTCGCAAAGGGCAGGGAGGCAGCCTCGCGCGCTGTCGAACGCCCCCCCGGCCCAGACAGAGGCATCACAATCATGCTCTGGCCAGCGTCTGGTGGGTCGGCATTGCGCAACACACGCCGCAATCAGCCTGAGAGCAGATGATGGGGTGGGCGCGGGTGGACGAGAGTGGAGCCGAGTTGGATGGGAGAGGGAGCACGCACGTGCAGCGGTGCCGAGAGTGGGTTGAGATGGCACCGCCTGCGGCCGCCCGGGCGACGGCTTGCGCAGGTATGTTGTTCATGTCCTTATCCGCCGCCGCTTGGCTGCAGCAGCCAATGACGCCGCCCGTCTTTGCGAAGCGGCGTCTGGACGCGCTTGGCGGTTGACGCCGGCCCGCCACTGCGCCTCGTGCGCGTCCACCTCCGTCGAGGTCGACGCGTCGAGATCGGAGCGCATCACCGAGACGCCAGAGCCCGCCTTCGCCGACATGATTCCCCGCCGGAGAGCTCGGTGAGTGTGCCGTCGCCCGAAACGGAAAACCGGCCGCGGGGAAATATAAGGTAAGATGTCATTTTTAGCATCTCTCCTCTGTTTGTGGACCGCGCCGTCGCTGCCCGCACCGAAGAGGAGGCCGCCCGAGCCCTGTTCAACCCCGACCGACGGCTCCTCCGAGGAGGAGCGGCACCGACTCTCGGGCGTCCCGCCCCCCGAGCACCGACTCTCGGGCGAGTCCAGTTCCGACTCTGAGTACGACCTCATCCCGCTGTCTCAGCGGCTCGCCTTCCGGCGCGGCGAGCAGCTAGCGAGCGCCGTCGCCACCAAGGGCGTCAGCGTGCACGAGCGCGGCGCCGGCTGGCAGCCGCATGGCGGCGGCGTCGAGGCACCCGCGGCCGAGGCAGCGGCGGGCGCGGAGCTGGCATGGCTACAGGCGGGCAGGAATCTTCTCGACTTCGGCGGCAAGGTGTGGGAGGCGGTGGGAGAGACAGGTGAGGCGGCAACGGAGGCAACGGAGGCAGCAGACATGCAGACGGAAGCCTCGGCTGGAGCCGGCGCCTCGTCTGCCGTGCAGGCTGACGCCGCCGCCGACGGCGCTTCTGCTGGCGCCTCCTCCTCCTCTGCCGACGCCGCCGCTGACGGCGCGGCTGTGAGCGCCGCTTTTGCCGACGCCGACGCGTCATCCGCACGTCCAGCCTGGCGACACGAGCCGGTCTGCTGCACGTGCGGCCGCGACGACGGCGACGAGTCGCTGCTGCTCTGCGACGGCCTCAAGTGCAGCGTGGCGCAGCACACCTTCTGCTGCAGCCCGCCGCTCGCCTCTGTGCCCTCTGGCAAATGGCTTTGCGACGCTTGCCAGCTGAAGCGCATGCCGTCGTTCCGCGAGCAGCTGGCGCAGGCACTCGAGGCGTCGAGAGCTGAGGACCCGGAGCTTGCCCTCGAGGACTACGGCCGGCGCGTCCCGCTGGACCAGCGGCCGCCCAAGCCGCCTCGAGACCCGCCGGCGTGGTCGCAAGATGCCGACGGCGTCCGCACCCTGCGGCTGGCGCAGCAGGCGCCCAGGCTCGACTTTGTCCGCGCGGTGCAGAGGGGCACCATCGTCGACGGCTATGGCAACCGCGTCGCGGGCACCGTGTACGACGAGGCGACGGATCAGCCGATTGAGAGCTCCGCACTGAACGCGCACCCCGACCCGCGCGCGGTGAGCTCGGATGGGTGCAAGGCTGCGCGCGTGCTCACCGAAGAGAACGTGGAGGAGGACCTCGAGGCGCCGTTCATCTCGCCTCCCGCCGCCGGCGAGGAGGCGGCGTGGAAGGTCTTTGCCGCTGGCGGTGCGCTCATGTGCAAGATCTGTTTTCTTCCTGCCCATGATGGCGCGGTCAAGGCTGCTGCCGACCAGGCGGTGCTGGGGGTGGCCGATGCGCTCGAGAAGGGCTCCTTCCAGCCCGACCAGAAGACGGGCGGGGGGTATGTCGTGGCTGGCAACGGGTGCGCCTTCCCGTAGCTGTAGCTCACCTCTTGGCTCTCACGCCTAAGACACCCGGCCCGCGGTGGCGCAGGTGCATGCAGAGCTCGGTCAACGTGACCCGCAGGCTCCGACGCACGCGTGCCGACGGCACGGAGGGCGCGTCGGTCGTCGTCCCGTACACGCGCCTCGACACCTTCAGGCCTGGCGTTCGGGACGCGGTTCGCACACCGTCCCATATCTCCCCATCTCTCCCCATCTCTCCCCGAACAGTCGGCACAGCGCCTCTTGCCCCCTTTGGCTCCTCCAGTCTCCCCCCCCAATGTTGGGTGGCCGAGCCATAGCTGCAGTTGTGAAACTCCCACCCCGCCCTCTGCACCCGTGAGCGACGCGACCCATCCGCATTCCCGTCCGCGACCGTCGCACGCCACAGGTGCAAGGCGCGGCGCCGCTGATGGGCCGCGTAGCCGAGCACATCGGCAAGGTCTTCCCCGAGACGACGCGCGAGATGGCGTCCGCGGCTCGCTTCCACCCCGTCGTGAAGGACCTCTTCATGCGTCCCTCGCCCGCGTCACAGCGGGAGCGGGACGTGTGAGCGACGTCTTCCTCACGCCTCGCGGGTCCCGAGTAGGTACCCGTCGCACGAGGAGCAGCGGCGCGGCCTCGAGGGCGGCGACGGCGACGATGCCTCGGACTCGTTGGCGGCGCACCAGCTCGCGCTCCGTCTCGGCGGCCGCCTCCGCCGAATGGCTGGCGGGCGCTTCAACCCGCGGCGGGGGCGAGCCGCCGGCCACTAAATGCGTGAACGGCTACCCCGAGAGCGCGCCACGCGCTTCCCATTAGGCTGCAGCTGTGCGCGCTTCACCTCGACTTCGACGACGCGCACCGGCTGCACGGTTGCCCGCTCATCTACGCCCTTCACCTAGAGGAGGGCGTCGAGCTGCCGCAGGGGCAGGAGGCGCGGCCGATGCCCCACTCCGACCTGATCGTATTCGAGCGCGGCGACGGCGGGCGCTGCGTGCGCGTGCAGACCGCCTGCCCGCATCATGTGTGCGTGGTGCGTGTCTTGCCAGGATGCTGAAGACGTGTAGAGCATCCTGCTCTTGGAAGGCCGCTGGCACACACGGCAAACAAGCACAACACACACACGGCCTCGCGTCACGCACTGCCACTCTGCCGGCCCTCCCTGTCGTCACACCTCTGACTCTCCGCAGGTCATCTTCTGCAGCGACGAGCACCTCCACGGCAACGTCTTCCCCGACTCGCTCGAGCCGTCGGTGACGCCCGGGCTCGCGCTGCTGCGCCTCGTACCCTATGCCCGCAAGGGTCGTCAGCGGTCGTACTCAGAATCGTGCCAAGCGTGTGCTTTTACACAGGCACTTGCTGTGAACAGGCATCGACGCCTTTTCACGGGCAGTCGAGCACGACGGCGCTCTCTGGGAGCGCGCCGTGCCGTTATTAGACAGCAGGCTGCGCGAGCGCTGGGCGGCGCGCGCAAAGCGTGACGGCGTGTGAGCGCGGGATGTGTGTGTGGTGACGGGGTTGCGAAACAGAACTAATACCAGCTCCCTGCTGTACACTGTATGCCGTACAATGCCCACTAGAGCCGTTGTAACCACAAACCACCCATGCCACTTTTAAACGTACGGCCAGTAGACAAGTGTTGTCACTAACAGAGTAGAAGGATCTGACCTCGGGGCCGATGTGACCAAGCGCTGGTAGCGCGGTTTTACCTCACACCCATGGTGTCTCACAGTGTGCCGGCAGTCGCCGAGCCAGTGTCGCTCACACAAGCCGCAGCACGACAAGTGACTGAGGGCCAGTGAGGGCGATCCCATCGCTGTCACAGCTGTGGCAGCCGCACAGTAGGCTGTGCCATCTGTGCAGAGCGTGTGAGCAGCAGAGGAGCTGCTCTCCCCAAGCTTCAGGCGCAAAGAGCTGCATGCCACCGAAGGCGCTGTCGAGGTTCGCCGAGCGCGGCGCAGGTTGGAGGACACCGTCACCGACGAGCGTCCGCGTTGGACTTTTCACTCCGGACAAAGACGGCGACACAGCGGACAGTGCAGGGTGTGTCCCCGTCACGATAGCGGCGAGGCGCGGGACCGTCTGTGGCGAAGTGGGTCGCGTCCCCCGATTTCCGTCAACTCATGGTCCGCACACCCTCTACGTGGTTGTACCAGCATCTCAGGAAGCCGCCGCGCGCCGGCCGCTGTGGCCACGTGATCTCTCGTAAGTATTCCTCTCGGACTTTGTCTTTTGCTCCAGTGGACGCCGCTGCCGACGGCGCCGCCGCCGACCCGCCCGCCGCCGACCCTCCCACCGAAGAGGTCGGCGAAGCTGCGGACCCGGCCACGCAGCCCGAGGCCGCCGCTCCGGTGGCAGAGACCGACGTCCCGATGGAGCAAGCGCTGAGCGATGCCGAGCATACATTCACAAGAGCACGAGCAGGAGGAGCAGCCGCTGGCGCTGCACGAGCGGCGGCTCGCGCTAGTCAAAAAAAAAAATTGCGTTTTACCCTGCGAAAGACACTACTCTCCCCCTCCCGTCACTCGTCCCCCTTGGCGTGGCGCGCCTCTCCCCCAGCTCTCGGTATCGCGTACTGCACGAGGCTACCGTGGGCCCCGCCTGCGCGCTGGGGGTTCCCTGCCCTGTCGGGAAGCCTAGCTCTGAACCTGGGGTCGCTACCTAATGCGGGGCTCCTGGACGGGCGATGAAGTTCGCCTTGAATCTCTCGTCTCGCTTTCCCCCCGACTCGCGTCCGTCGGGGGTACTCCCTGCTCTGGCTCTCTGATCTCCCCCCCGCCCCCCCCCCCCCCTCCTTCCCTCTCCGGGATGAGAAGCGCGCTGCTGTCCCTAGAGGGGGGTCGGGTGGTGAGGGAATTGATTAGGCCTCATGTTGTCCGCGGTGCCCACGGACGATCGCCGGAGTGGGCCGAAGGACAGAGGCTTGCCTGTGTGGGGGCGCGCGGGCGCCCACTCAGGCTCGGCCTCCGTTGTCTCAGCCTTCAGTTCACCTCTCCTTGCGCCCGGTTTTGCGTGGCGACCTTCATTTCGGGGTCGAAGGTGCTACACACACTTGCCCCCTGGTGGTCTGGCACTCGGCGTTATACCTACTGGGGTTAGGCTGTTTTTCTTTTATTTTCTGAATTTCGGGGGGGGGGGAGTGGGTCCCCGCGGTGTTTTTTCTTGTGTTTTTTCTTTCCTGTCAGTTTTCTTCTATAAAGATCTTGGCAAAAAAGAGGCCGTTTGTATCGTATTACAAAATCTTTGTTTTCGTTTTTTGTTTTCTAGAGGCGAGCCACGAGGCGTGCCGCAAGCGGTACCTCGCGCTCGCGCTGCGCGTGCACCCCGACAAGACGTCGGAGCCACGCGCGCAGGAGGCGTTCAAGGCGCTCGAGGCGGCCTTCCGCAGCATTCCAGTGCCATGATACAGTACGACAGTCGAGTACGACTGTACGAGTCGGGGGGCGACCGGCGTGGCCGGGTCGCACCGGTGGACGGCTCTGCACACATGGCCACGAATAGACAATATTAATACAATTGACCATTGGGTACGGGTCGCGAAACGCGCCGCCCACAGAGGGTGCAAGAGGGGGGGGTGCGCTGGCGTGGCCGTGTGGGGCGTGGGTGCGTAAAGAAAGAAAGAAAACACACAACCCAAGGGAGGGATGGGAGAACGGCACGCCGCCACCACACAGGGATTTTAAGGAGAGGAGCGTGGGTGCGTAAAGAAAGAAAGAAAGAAAACACACAACCCAAGGGAGGGATGCGTGAGCGCCTCGCGCAATGGCAGGGAGAAAGAATTCTTGATACGAAACCACGACGACACACACCAGTCGACTCGCATCGGTTGCCTCCATGAACGGCGGAGCTATTCTCGCGCCCACACCACACCTGGCTCCAACGTGGACACGCCCATAGCTGGGGACACTACTAGGTCACGCATGGCATCACAGAAGTTTTATCTCTGGGCCCCGAAAGGCATCTCTAGCAGTGTCGTTACACATGCCCCCTCCCCTCCTGGGCGCATGCGCCTCACGTCTCGCCAGAGCATAAGCCCTTGGCGTGTGGCGAGACGAGTTTTTCGCCATGCAGCGAGCAGCAAGCCGCCCGCCGCAAACAGCCGGAGGCCTCGCCGCGGCACTGGCTGCGCCGCGGTCCCGCACCCGTCGACGCAGCTCCCCCCGCGGAAGACCGCGCGTAGCAACGTCTTGACGATCGAGATGAGCGTGCCTGAAGCTCGCCCACCTACTGCCCTCTCAATGGCAGGGAGTTCTTTTGGCGCCCCCCTTGACAAAAGAATTCAGAAAACGCGTGCGATGTCCTCCGCCGTGGCGCAGGCGCTGCCGCCGTCGATTCTCGCGCTCTTCGCGCCTCGCCCGCCGCCCCCATTCAAGCCGGCGCCTGAGAAGCGCAAGATGCCGCGCTACGGCACGGTCGCGCACCTCGTCTCCGAGTTCGAGGAGCCGTCCGCGACGCCAGCGCCAAAGCCGGCCGCTGTGGTAGAGTCGAAGGAGGCGCGCCGCGCGCGCAAGGCCGAGAAGCGCAAGGCCAAGGGCGAGGCCGATCTCGAGGCGAAGGTCGAGGCGTACGACCCGAACGAGGACAGCAAAATCAAGGGCGACCCCTACAAGACGCTCTTCGTCGCGCGCATCAGGCGCGCGCGGAGCTGCGCCGCCCCCGCCGCCCCCCGCGCCCCCCCCCCCAACCCACCCATCCCCGCTGGACCCCGCCGGCCGCCGCGCCGCCTCGTGCGCTCGCGCTCCGGCCAGCCCGAAGGTGCACGAGACTTGCCCGTCCGACATATGGAGCGCAGCGTGCGCCCCAATTGCTCACCGGCTCCCCATCTCACTGGCGGCCCTCTCACTGGCGGCCCGCTCCGCCGTGGCGCAGCTACGACACGACCGAGGCGAAGCTGAAGAAGGAGTTCGAGCAGTTCGGCCCCATCCGTCGCATCCGCCTCTGCTTTAACACCGAGACAGGAAGCCGCCGCCGCCGCCGCCTCCCGCCCCAC